AGATCATTACCAATCATTTCAGGTACATGTGCTACCAGTCTTTGATGTAAACATAATGTACCTAGTCCCGTGTTGACATGTTGTGCCATTACGTGCCATCGTTGGTTTCTTGCGGCGCTTTTGCTCACATTCATTTTATATTGGAGTGATGGCACTTCTTTTGTCAACGCACAATGTCTAAATAAAGAATTACAAAAAAAAATGTGAATAGTGGTGGAAACCTCATTAACTGTCAATGATGATGGAAAGTTCCTATGCAAACTGTGAATAGTGGTGAAAACGTCCAATATAAATATCACAATGATAATAATTCACCACTCCTATGAAGCTAACCACCATAGTTAAAGACCACCATAGATAAAGTGTTGTAGTAAAAAAATGTGACATACACCTAGTGTGTTACGCTCCAATTACCTTTTGAATGGTAATAAATGTATTGGGGGTCGGATGTCTACTGCAAGAGAACCCTCAAGTGATTCAGTAGCGTAAGAAAAAAAAAAAAAAATATATATATATATATATATATATATATTTATATAAATTGGTGATAAATGTCTCTTCCACCAAATAATTCTATTTCCCAAAAAGACATCACCAGGAGCTTGTAAGAAGGCATTCCTCCTTTCAGGTGTGCACTCACAAAATTACCATGCCCCCCCCCATTCTCATGGTCGGCTGGAATTTCTTTTTTAAATTTCCAGGTGGGAAGGAAGTAGATCAATATTGGGATTAATTCAATCCTCTCTGTTTTTCTCAGGTCCACATGTCTCTCATTCGGATGTCTACTAAGCCTAGGAGGAGTAATGTGTTCTGTTGGCTCCCCATATTGCCTAATGCAGGCCATACATGGTTCAAATTCCGAACGATTTTTCATTCTGAAAATCTAAAACATTCGCTTGATAATCCGATGGTGCCTTCAATGATTTCGAAAAATCGGCCAACCAAGTAATAAAGTTCACCCCATATAACAGGCGAAACTTCTCTTTCTTCCAGGTCACGGCTCATGCGCATATTCTTTTCGGAAAAACGATCATACATTTTGACCATCATTGAGTCGAAAATCGGTTGTTTTTCACAGATTTTCCAACATGCCCGATTGCTGAAATGGGGAAGAACCACGAAAATCGTCCGGTGCTGTTGACCCACTAACAGAGCGAAAATCGGCCGATTATTCTTAGGTCCGATTTTTGGACCGGCCTAAGTCTTGGCTCACACTACTGCTACCTGAAAGTCGCACGACTTGCAGTGCGACTTTGCCAGATGACTTGAATACCACTTTGAAGCAACTTTTAGGGAATGCCTGGGTAATCCTCCTGTAATGTTGGATACAAATCACATCATTATAGATGAGGATCCAACTTGGGAGGCGACTTCTAATAAAGTCTATGGGCACAAATCGGATAGAAGTCGCCTTGAAGTCATACAGGAACCTTTTCTAAAGTCGGAGCGACTTCAGTAGTGCTAATTAGGACAGCTCTCATTGACTAACATGGGATTTCACATGTCATGCGACTTGGGGTCTCACAAGTGGGATCCCAAGTTACGGCGGTGTGAACCGAGCCTAATATAGCGGTGTTTGGACTTAAAACATTAACAGATACAGGCGTACCGCGGTTTACGAACGCCTCGATTAAAGTAATTTTTGGTTTACGAATAAAAATCTATTGAAAATAACGCCTCGGTTTACGAATTTTTTACGAATAAAAATCCATTGAAAATAATGCCTTGGTTTACGAACTTTTTAGAAATTTTCTTCGCAATACATAGTAAGTTTCCCTAGGATGCATTGCGCCTGGGAGGTTTATAGCGCAACCACCCGCATCCTGTAGTCTGTGGGTAGCACGTGTAATCGAGTGTGGAGGTGTAGGAGCATTTTTTGCATCGAGTTATTGCTTGATTAATCATGTCCCTGTACAGTATTTATGCCTTTAAAGTGCATTTTATAAAGAGTTAACAGATAAAAGACTTTTTTTTTAACTTTTTTCTGACCTCCGTAACAGATTAATTGGTTTTCAATGCATTCCTATGGGAAACCGCGTTTTGGTTTACGAATGTTTTGCAATACGAAAAAACGCATTAAATTCGTAAACCGAGGTACACCTGTATAAGTAAATATGCCTTTATTCTGGCTGTACTGCTATTATCTCACGAGTTATGAAATACGCTGAATTTCTTGATTCTACCAGAGAAGAGAAACGGCAATCAATGTGCATTGCCAAAGACTCCAGCTAAGGTATTTATGATGGGAGATCCGGCAGCATGTGCGGTTGCTTTTCCGATTGCTAAAACCTGCAAGTTTGATGGTGTTTACGAGACACCTAGCCTGAAATGTGGGTTCTGGTAAAAGGTGTCACCATGTCTCCTCTCAAGGAGACTGAGAAGAATATTCTGGTATGCAGACTAAAGTTTGTGGTGTATATCAAACTCCTTCCTGGGGGGGGGGATGTACAGTACAGGAATCACTGCTGCTATTGTCTACTTATTGTTAGAAACCGTCATGGCGGTTTAGGACCTCTGAACAACATGGTCGCCCCGTTATGGATTACAGTTTCCACCATCATTCACAGTCAGTAAAGGAGGTTTCCACCACTGTTCACATTCACTTGATTAAATTGGGTAGCACTACCCTTTTATCCAGTTGGTGTGGGAACACATATCAGTGTTTAGCAGCATTCTTGTTTTGATGGCAATTTCAGCTTGCTTGGATGTAATAGATAGGAGAGTTTAGGTTTCCTATGAAAAATCTGTAAGTGAATGAATAATTTCATAACTAATGACTGCCAAATCCTTTGATGAGATGTTAGAGGTGAAGGATGAAGCAGGATAAAGAAGGAAGTTGAAAACGCTGAAAGCCCTTTAGGAATATGAGTTTGGGATGACATAAGATGTGGTGATGTACAATTGTTTAGAGGACAGCAGTTTCTCTCAGTTCTTTGAAGGCAAATAGGTTGTTCACTTTGCAAAGGAATTTTCGCCCAGAGCTTTGTGAACTAGATGAAGCTCTGCTGACTTCTACCTTTACCACATTCACTAACCTCTGGGGAAGGTTCCCTTCCCCAGTGAACAGCCTACACTCACCGGTCACTTTATTAGGTACACCTTGCTAGTGCCAAGAAAATCTCCCCCACACCACCAGCCTGAACCATTGATACAAGGCAGGATGAGTCCCCCACACCATGTCACCACCACCACCAGCCTGAACCATTGATACAAGGCAGGATGGATCCCCCACACCATGACACCACCACCACCAGCCTGAACCATTGATACAAGGCAGGATGGATCCACCACACCATGACACCACCACCACCAGCCTGAACCATTGATACAAGGCAGGATGAGTCCCCCACACCATGTCACCACCACCACCAGCCTGAACCATTGATACAAGGCAGGATGGATCCACCACACCATGACACCACCACCACCAGCCTGAACCATTGATACAAGGCAGGATGAGTCCCCCACACCATGACACCACCACCACCAGCCTGAACCATTGATACAAGGCAGGATGGATCCCCTACACCATGACACCAGCACCACCAGCCTGAACAGTTGATACAAGACAGGATGGATCCACCACACCATGACGCCACCGCCACCACCACCAGCCTGAACCGTTGATAAAAGGCAGGATGGATCCATGCTTTCATATTGTTTATGCCAAATTCTGACCACTATCAACCGAATGTCACAGCAACCAGTCTGCCCATTCTCCTCTGACATCAACAAGGCATTTTCCTCCACACAACTGCCACTCACTGGATATTTTCTCTTTTTCGGACCATTCTCTGTAAACCCTAGAGATGGCTGTAGGTGAAAACCCCAGTAGATCAGCAGTTTTTCCTAAATGCTCGTCTGGCACCAACAACCATGCCACGTTCAAATAACTGAAATCTCCTTTCTTCCCCATTCTGATGCTCGGTTTGAACTTCAGTAAAGCCAGGAATACATGGTAAGAAAATTGTACAAAAAATTTAGTTGATCAAATGAGCGACCGATTTTCTCTTCGTTGATAAGCAGGATGTTATAACCAATAACAATATTGTGAATGAAAAAATCTGGTTGAACAACAGTGAAAAAGTTTGTCGTTTTGCATGCAAATGACCGATTTCCTATGCGGTGGTTTGACAGTCTATCAATCTATCAAGTACTATAACGCATGAGCGGAAACAGAAGATGACTCGGATGTTTATGTCCACGGATCCATAAATCCCATTAATTCAAAGGATATATGTCCAATCACTCATTCTTGCCAGCAGGGAGTTGAATGCTCATTCTGGGTGGAAGGGTGTGGCTACAAGGTCACATGCACATTGCATCACTTACACTTGTATGGAGGACATCAACACTACGTATTGCTTGCCGAACAATTTTTTTCGATTGGTTAATGTGGGGCACGATTTTGTCTAACCAACGAACGCCGATCGGTCGTCGGATGACCGATCGGTTGATTTTCTTACCATAAGTCATCTTCACCACGTCTAGAAGCCTAAAAAGTTGCTGCCACGTAATTGGCAAATTAGCAATTTGTGTTACCAAGCAACTGAACAGGTGGACCTAATAAAGTATGCCTTTAGTAACTCGCCCCATTTGGGAATTCTAGTCTGCTTGGGGAGCCATACTAATTTCTATGACATAGTGCTGCCCCCCCCAAAAGGGCACTAGAATATCCAGGGCCTCTGTAACTGCGGATGGACGGTAAGCTCAACATTGGTAGACGATGGAACTAATGGAAGAGGTTAAAAGGTTTGAACTTCAAGATTTCAACAGCTTGGAAAACATGCTAAAAGATTGTTCAGTCTGTTAAATGGCTTCCTGTATGAAAATTTGCACAATTTTTCTTAGGCGTACGATTGACTTAAAACCCGAAGTTTCTTGAGACCACTGTAGGACGTTGCATAGCTTTGGTAGGGAATCTTCAACTTGAGTGGATAGGTTGTTCTATAGGAGGGCAGGTTTAATAAAACCGTGAAAACAAAAAGGCATACCCATTTTTAGATGTTCGTTTCTGATGTAGGAGCCTTTTTAATCCTGTGGATATTGAGATGTGACACCAGGGTAGACTTATAGGAGAACCGCTTCCCACATTCAGAACAGGAATACGGCTGAGCCCCTGTGTGGACTCTCTCATGTCTTATCAAATCTGATTTATCACTAAAGCATTTCCCGCATTCGGAACATAAATGTGGACGATCACCAGTATGGACCTTCTCGTGTCTACACAGATTCGACTTGTTTTTAAAACCTTTCCCACACACCGAACACGAATATGGACTCTCCCCAGTGTGAGTTCGCTGATGTATGACGAGACGGGCTTTCAACGAAAAACATTTCCCGCACTCAGAACACAAATAGGGCATTAATCCCGTGTGAATTCTCTGGTGGGTAATAAGCTGCTCCTTCTGAGAAAAACTCTTATTGCATTCAGAGCATAAATACGGCCTCTCCCCAGTGTGGGTTCTCAGATGTCTCTCGAAATCTGATTTCTGGGAAAAACATTTCCCGCATTCGGAACAGGCGAAGGGTTTGTCGCCTGTGTGGGTTTTTTGATGTCTCAGGAGAAGAAATATTTCAGAAAAACTCTTGCCACACTCTGAACACGGGAAGGGTTTCTCGGCCAAGTGAGTTTTCTGGTGTTTGAGGAGGAAGGCCCTCCAAGGGAAACATTTTCCACACTCAGAACAGATGAACGGCTTCTCCCCTTTGTGAATTTTTTCATGCGTGATAAGAGATGATTTCCAGGAAAAATATTTCCCACATTCAGGACACGAATATGGCTTCTCTGATGAGGGGCTCTCCTGGAGAAAAACAGGTTGTTCTTTCTGGGTAAAACGTGGACCAAACTCAGAACATGAGAAGGTGTCAGCCTTTCTGTGATGGGTGATGGGAGGTGAATGCTCAGTAAAACATTCCACACGTGTACAGGAATTGTTTGATGGATCTGCACCGGGAGGTGTTGGATGGACATCTGGGGCTACATTTTTTTTTCCTGAAGAGCTGTTTCCAGCACATTGTTCCTTGTCATACCTTTTGTATTGTCCATCTAGAGGAAATAAGAATCAGAGGAAACTGGAGTTGCTAAACTAATTTTTAAAGTCTCTGGATTAAAAAAAAATTGCTGGAGATTGGGCATGTGAGAGAAATGCACCCCACAATCGGTCATGCCAGTTTGAAAATTTGTACAGTATACAGCTTTACATGGGAAGGCAAAAGTATGCTCTCTTTACTAAATATAAACGAGACCCCTGTTTAATCAAATAGCTTCAATCAAGGTGCAATATATCTGTGCAGGAAACAGGTAAACTTTTTGCAGGGACCCTTAAAAATATTTACTTATCTTCCCTGGGCTCCCCCAGATCTACTACTGGCTTACCAGGGATGTGTGAAATCCCATGCATGTATGAGGGAGCATGTGACTTGCTCTACATTTCCCCATGATGTAGCGTTGGGTGCCGAAGCGCCCTCAGATGGGGGCAAAAAAGCCCTGAAAAATCTCCACCCAGACTGACTTGTAGCTTCTATACATCTTATTAGTATAGCTGAGGCAGGTGGCTCCTGAATTCTCCATTGCGTACATACCATCTCCCCCTTATTCTATTACCTTCCTCCTCCTCAGCTTTGGCATTTCTCTAAGTGACTCTGGTGTCTCCGTGGTCTGTGAATAAAGTGAAACCCTCTGGGCTGAGATGTATAAGAGACCCCAGAGAGAGTGTGTGTGTGGGGGGGGGGGAGACTGACATGATGTGAGGAGGAGAGCCGGAGTCTAATGGCTCCTGACCCCCCCCCCCAACTGGGCACATACTGTCCCCCCATTACTGTCTACTGACAGAGGAGGGGGGGAGAAGAAGAGATGGTTGTAATGACTGAACAAGGAGGATCTAGGACTCTTCTCTGGATTTAGTGTTTATTCCTCACCTGTACTGATCTCTGGAGGGATCTCCTCCTCTTTAATCCTCACATGTACTTCTTCCTCTTCATCAGCTTTGACATCTATCTGAGTACCTCTGGTAGCTGTGAATAAAGAGGAGAGTGAAGCCCCCTGTACTGAGAGACCTTAGAGTGTGTGTGTGTGGGGGGAGACCGGTCACGTCTCAATGACGTGAGAAGGAGAGTTGGAGTCGGACATAGGCTGATGGCTCCTGCCCCCCCAAATGGTCACATACTGTCCCCCCATTACTGTCTACTGACAGAGGAGGGAGGAGAAGAAGAGATTATTGTAGTGACTGAACAAGGAGGATCTGGGACTCTTCTCTGGATTTAGTGGTTATTCCTCACCTGTGCTGATCTCTGGAGGACCTTCCTCCTCCTTCCAAGACTCATCACCCTTCACATATGGCTCTTCCGCTTCCTCTTTAACTTTTGCGTTACAATCAATCTGGTTTACCTCCAGTGTAACCTAAACAAGAATAAAACTGAATTCTTTACTTAGAGTTCCATTGAAAGTAAAAGTAGTTTTAGCATAATAATGATTATACGGTAGGGACTGAATATTTAGGAAGACAGGTTTTTACCAGATTTGTTAAGGAATGCAAGTCATAACAAGTTCTACTCTTGCACTGAACATTTAGGTGTCCTCCCACCTTGGTCTAGTAGGAACAATAAAATTCAGCACTTAGAAGCTCTACTCCAAATGTGTTGTAATAAGTATGAAGCAAAGCACAAAGGCGGCAGCACCTAAGTTTTATTCCCTAAGCCACAGGTGTCAAACTGGCATCCCTCCAGCTGTTGCCAAACTATAAGTCCCATGAGGCATTGCAAGATTGACAGTTACAAGCATGACTCCCAAAGGCTGAGGCATGATAGGACTTGTAGTTTCGCAACAGCTGGAGGGCCGCCAGTTTGACACCCCAACGTCCTAAGCCAATGGAGGCAGGGTGACACTTTCCAGTTGCTGTAATGGGGTAGTGTTTTTATGGGTTTGGTATAAATAAATTATTTGAAATGTTTTGGTCTCCAATTACCTGATCAGCTGGTGGTACCTTAAGTTGTTCCTGTGTGGAGTCCCGGGAATACAGAGGACGGGGACATCTCTCTGGTGGGTTCCCATTACTGGATCCATCTGTAGGAAACACACACACTGAATGAAAACATTCAGGGAATTAACTAAGCTTCCTGTGCCATTGTAATGTCATGTGTCACATTAACTAAGCAGATAGAACTGTTTCTGGTCTATCTGTGCCACTCGTACCAGTTTGTATTTCAGAGTGAAAGAGAAACTGACACAGGGTCCGTGCCTTGTTAACAAAGGGAAGGCGGCAGTTTTCAATACAGAAAACTGGCGCAGATCCCCAACAGGTTGGACTTGACATATGAGATGTGGACTGTCTACATGAGATGGTCATATGCCTGATGAAGGGGTTCTGCGAGACTCCAAAACGTTACTTTGCTGTAACTATGTGATCATTCATTAAAACTTTTGGACCCATATTGGTGATCCTCAGTGTGCCGGTGACATTCTCCCTGTCTGCAGACAGCTCACATCCCTCTCTCTGCTTGCAGAGCCCGTGGTGTTAACAATCCTCTCTTTTCCTGTCTCAGAAGCAGAGGGCAGGGACAGGCAGAGAAATCTGAAGCATGCACCTCCAGCCAAAATGCTTTCTGTGCCATGCCTGTAGCAGATGGAATACGGAAAGGGAAGAGCTGTGAAAATGTGGAATAGACTCCCTCAATAGTTGGTTCTGGCCAGCTCAGAGGATTGCTTTAAAAAAGTCCTGGATTCTTTTTTGGATACACAGAATATAACTGGATACTAACATTTATAGGTAAAGTTGATCCAGGGAATATCCAATTGCCTCTCGGGGGATCAGGAAGGAATTTTTTTCCCCTGCAGGAGCAAATTGGATCATGCTTTGCTGGTTTTTTTTGGCTTCCTCTGGATCAACTGTGAGTATAGGATTATAACTTTTTTTTTTTTTCTACTGGATGGACTTTTGTCGTTTTTCAGCCAGACTAACTATGTAACTATGCTCTATTACTAGTCAGACATTTCCCAAAAGGTCAATGGAATACAAACACAATGGATGTATGTGGCCAAATTTCAGTAGCACCGAAGCATCAAAGATACTGATTTGTACTTGAAATGGCCAGAGGTGGCTAGAGGAGAAGTCATGACCACTAAAGCTCTCACCACTGCCTTGGAGGGATGGTTCTCAAGATGGAGACTACTACTGGAAATTATTACCGAAAAAGATCCACAGTTTATTTCAAAAGAGTGTGAGACCTTCCTTAAATCAAAGGAAATAAAGCACATTCTAACACCACAATACCATTCAGAGGCCAAAGGAGGTGTAGAGCATTTTGACCGGATATTTAAAATTTGCCCAAAGACATATCTGCATGAGGGACTCATCGGCAGCGAAGCAATAACTTCCTAAAAGATCTGAGAAATATCCCTGTGAAGAAATCATATAAAGAAATAGGTGACAATATGGCGATCAAGTCTTTGCTTGATAGAAAGGACCTGGTTGTCAGACCAGCCGATAAGGGGGGTGGTGTGGTAGTCCTCAACAAGACACAATACATCACTGAGGTTAACAATATTCTTAGTGATAATGCCACATATAAGCTTCTTTCACGTGATCCATTGTCTGGCTTCAAGAAGGAGCTTAAGAGGATTATCACTAAAGGCTATGATTTAAACATCTTAAACAAGAAAGAGAAAGCATTTTTGTGCCCCTCGGCACCTAAATTGCCTATATTATACATCTTGCCCAAGATACACAAGGACCCAGTCAACCCACCGGCCGTCCGATTATTAGTGGGATTGGATCCCTTAGCTCTAAGATAGGAGAATACATAGACCACTATCTACAACCACTGGTGGTGCAGACTCCATCCTATCTTCGGGATACAAAACAGGTGTTAAATCTAATCAGCACTTTAAACACATTGTCTAATACTTATCTGGTTACCGCCGATGTAGCCTCTCTCTACACTAACATTAACCATCTAGATGGCATGGAGGCTGTAGAATTCTATCTCACTAACCATAGCACTTTACCCGTGGCACAAAAACACTTTATATTGGAGTTACTTGAATTTGCAATGGACCACAACTATTTTTGGTTTAACCAGTCATATTATTTGCAAATCAAAGGAGTTGCAATGGGGGCCAAGTTTGCCCCCAGCCTGGCAAATCTCTTCATGTCTCGATGGGAAGAGGACCTCATTTACGCTAGAGACTGGCCCGAATTAGTTATGTATAAGAGGTACATTGATGATATTATTCTCCTTTGGAATGGTGAGGAAGAATCTTTGGTCAACTTTTTCACTACCCTTAATAACAATAAGCTCAACATCAGTCTTACGTTTACATACAGTCAATCCGAAATCAACTTTTTAGATCTTACACTTATTAATTTTAATGGTAAAATAGTCACAAAATCATTTTTTAAAAGTACAGATAGGAATAGCTATATTCCAACCAGTAGCTGCCATCACCCTAACTGGTTGAGGAATATTCCGAAAGGTCAGTTCACACGTATCCGGCGTAACTGTACAGATGTGGAGACCTATCTCGATCAGGCTCTGATACTGAAGAAAAGGTTTTTAGAAAAGGGATACAAGGAAGATAACCTTGACAACACTATACAGATGATTGCTCAATGTGACAGAGATAACATGCTATCTGACAGACCAAGACCAACTGAATCAAAAGTCTGCCCCTTTATCACAACCTTTTCCACGCAATTTAGACAGATTGGGGGTATTATAAGGAAAAATTGGAATTTGCTGAAACTGGACCCCACACTGTCTAGGATTTTGCCTGAAAAACCGGAGATTATTTTCCGGAAAGCGACAGAGATCAGGCATCAAATAGCACCGAATGTAGTGAACCCCCCCATTGGCACCACATTCT